TGGGCAATCTTTTGGATATATGCCTAGGAATGGTATAGCTGGATCCTGAGGTAGCACTATTCCTAATTATCTGAGAAAGTGCCAGATTGATTTCCAAAATTGTTGTAGAAGCTTACATTCCCAGCAACAATGGAGAAGGGTTCCCCTTTCTCCACATCCTCTCCAGCATGTGTTATCACTTGAGTTTGTGATCTTAGCCATTCTGATGGGTGTTAGGTGAAATCTCAGGGTTGTTTTGATTTGCATCTCCCTGATGACTAGGAATATTGAGCATTTCTTTAAGTGTTTCGCTTAAAGAAACATTAGATATTCCACTGTTGAGAATTCTCTGTTTAGTTCAGTACCCCATTTTTTAATTGGATTAATTGATTTGTTGCTTTTTAACTTTTTGAGTTATTTTATCTATTCTGGATATTAGCCCTCTGTCAGATGTAAGATTGCTGAAGATCTTTTCCCAGTATGTAGGTTGTCATTTTATTCTGATGACACTGTCCTTTGCTTGACAGAAGCTCTTTGGTTTATGAGGCCCCATTTATTAATTGTTGATCTTAGAGCTTGTGCTATTAGTGTTCTGTTCAGGTACCTTCTGTACCAATGAGTTCAAGGCTCTTCCCCACTTTTTCTTCTAACAGATTTCTGTCTGGTTTTATGTTCAAGTCTTTTGTCCACTGGACCTTAACTTTGTGCAGGGTGATAAAGATGGGTCTATTTGCATTTTTCTACAAGTAGACATCCAGTTATACCAGCATCAATTGTTGAAGATGCTGTCTTTTTTCTGTTGTGTGGTTTTGAGTTCTTTGTCCAAAATTAAGTTTCCATAGGTATATGGATTTATTTCTGGGTCTTCAATTTGAGTCCATTGATCCACCAGTCTGTTTTTATGCTAGCACGATGCCATTTTTATTTCTGTTGCTCTATAGTTTTCATCCTTTCTTCTCTATAGGGAATTCAAAAGCCATCCGTACTTGAAGAGAAGTTATTGTTCACTAGAACCTTCATTCTTTGACTGATAGAATGAGCTCAATCTATTTTTTAAACCCAAATAGCACAGATTAAGTTTAATCATGTTCACAATTTATAAACCCCATTCTACTGTTGAGTGCATATTCCAAATAAGTATTCATAACCCCATTTATTCCAAGATGTATTCTATACTTGCTTGTATCTGTGAGAGGTTGTCTCTTATATGTACATCCTACTGTTGTCTCCAACAACAGAGAATATATATAATTTTCATGATACATTAATGAGTCATGCAAACTTTAGCTACTAAGAGTGCTAAGAATACTTGAATTCTAAAATGCACAGATAAAATACATTTTAAAATATATTTTAAAAGAAACTAATGTGAATGTAATTTGAGAGCATCTGCTACTATCGGTTTCTATAATATATTCTTAACAATGTTTTGAGAAGAAGGAATGAAATTTCAGACATTCTGTAATATTACTTTAATAAAAATACAACTAATTTGCATATATAACCTCAGATAAACATTTTCTTATTAAAATATAAAAACAGATAAAACCAACGAAAGATGTTTATAAAATATAACGAAGCCTGAGGAAAATCACAGTTAAAGAAATTATGTCTGTAAGTAAACGAAAATTCCATTTGCATTGCTTTCTTCCTTAGCCTTCTTCTGATGCCAGCCAACCATTAAGTGGATGGAGACAGGACAGTGGAAGGTTGCTCTGCATTTCCATGTAACCCAGAATTTCTATAGCATTAGCATTAGAAATTCTTGAATGAGTATATTCACTAACAAATAAATTAAAAGAGAGCAGAAAACTTATAAAATTTTGGAACTTCAAGATTTAACACAATCACCTTTAATATACTAAATAACATATCTCATAGTGTACTGATCAAGTTTAAATAGATGCTTATGTGGAAATGCTAAGTGATTTGATTGCATTACACACCACTTTCTAATCAGTGCATCTTTGAAATTCTATGAATAATTTTATTCTCTAAATGTCACAAAGTACATTTATGCATTAATAGTAAGATAACAGAAAGGATTATTTAAAGTTGGTCCTCGTGATGTAAGCCTGTGTAAGCTCCCTGGGAGCTAGAACATCATGTTTCAGTCCACTGTGTAATACAGAGAGAGTTCAGGACACTGTGGGAGTGTTAAGGATCATACTTTAAAGTAAAAATGAGGAAACCAAAGAAGGCTGGAGATACACCTTAGTGGTAGAACATTTCTCTAGCATTGTGCATTAAGCCCTAGGTTCAATCGATAGAACCATAAATAAACAAATAAATAGACAAAATTGAGATAATTATTTTAAATATATGAAAGTAAATAATCTGAAAAACAAAACAAAATATGACAGGGGACACAAAGGTTTGAATTCTGTGGTTTTGAAACCAGACAAGGTTTGGCTATACCATTTTGTGACACTGCACTTGACATGTAATTATTGCGCTCTTGCTCACACAGATATGACAAGGAAGAGAAGATGACTGTGTGAAACTGTTAAAAGGCCAAAAGAAATAGCAAGCATTTCAAAGTGAAATTATAGAAATGAACAGAAAGAGCAGGGGAAATGTTATTTCATTTAACTCTGCTTCTTGATTGGAATGTTATTAGAATTAATCATAGAATGATCAAATTGTAAGTGTCTAAAAGAGCCCAACTTGAGTATTTTGTGGAGGAAAAGAATGTCAGAAAAATTCAGTTTCTTTTTGTAACAGAATGACAAAGAAGCTATTCCTGTAGCAAATTGGGCCTAGAGAGAGCTTCTGTGTTTCATGTTACAGTTCCCTCCTCAGAGTAGTAGGCAACATGCCACGTGTGGTGAGCTGGCATGCAAGTACCAAGAACTGTGATCACAAGCCCCTTGTCACCCAATGGAGACCATTTACTTGTAGTTGCCAGTGTTCTGGTTGTAAAAGGATACAAGGTGGGGAAAGATCTGAAGATCTTGGCGTTTATAAAGCAGTCAATTTAAAATGACTCTTTAATATACTGAATATACTTAATACTGAAATATGACAAGAGAAACCTTATGCCACCATGCCAAGTAGTACTAGCACATATATAAGTAATTTTTAAATAGTTCTGTTGGCATAAGTGAAATTTTAGTGTAAAACTAAGAAAGTCAATACACATAGTCAAACCATTCCACACAGCTTTAATCCAGGTAGTGTATGGGTAATCAATGTAAAACTATAAAAAGATTGTTGAAGTTTCACACAGGACAAACTGTGGAATATGTTAGTAATTTTTGTGTAAACTTTTGGTGGTTGTTTTTTTTTTATGTGTAGGTTAAAAAAGAGTAGTAATCAATATAGTAATAATTTGAGAACTTTGCATAATAAATACAGTATTTATTTTATACCACTGTGAGTAGCCAGGCATTAAGAGTGATTGTTTTAAAACTGTGTGTGAATTAAAATGTATTCCAGTACCCATCTTAATGGTCATCATCACATTTCTGTCTACACAACACTGTGAACAGAAGGCTTTGATGCATCTGTAACAAAATACGAACCATCCCCATTCTTAGCCGCACTACTTGGCATTTGGGGACAGTAAAATAAAGTTAGCAAAGAACAAGACAATAAATATTTACAGATGATATTTTGATAATATCACCTAATCTCCAAAAAATGGCAAGGACAGCTTTTCTATAACCCTAATGTGTCTCTTTCTCATGATCAGTTACATGGAATGACCTACTCCAGCTTCGGCTGCCCCTTCTCCTCACCATCTAATTCCTACCTTATTACTCCAGCTCAGCAACACTTCCCAGCTAGATAAATGTAAACCAGTGAGCTTGGTGTGAGGTGTGACTATAATGCTAGCAATGGTAAGACTGAGTCAGTAGGATCATGAGTTCAAGACCATGTGAATTAGACAGTGACTTCAAGGTCAAGCTATATGGACTGTCCCACAAAACACACACACACACACACACACACACACACACACACACACACTACAAAACCATATAAACAGTTTTCCCTTTTAGTTTGTCCTCTGGTGTAACTCGTTTTGCATGTTATCTTTACAAAGGAAACGTAAATGTGGCTGCCTCCCAACTCAAGACTGCCCAGTGGCTTCCAATTACATTCACGGTAAAAATCAGAAACCCTTTCCTTGTACAGGATCTTCAGTTATCTGTCCTGCATCTCCCCACCAAACTCTTTTCTCTGATATTCAGCCAGTGAAATTTATTCTTCACTCAGTTGCCAGTCTTTCTTGTCTGTCTCCTCTTGGCTTGCTCTTCCTTAACATTCAGGACCTGGACTAACATCAGTCTAATAAATCTAAGCACAAGATATGTACCTAGATTCCACTCCCATTCACATTTTCTATAGCTTCATGGTGGATATTTTCTCTTACCAAACATATATGCTTGTTTTTTCTAAGTGGTTGTTTTCCTCATTAGAATACATACTTTACAAAACCAGGTCCCTTTCTGTTTTCTATTTTATCTCCGGTAGACATAGTAGAGATTCACATTTTTAATGAAAATATTAAAATGTAGGAATGAGTAAATAGTATAATTATAATTTGAATAGCCACTTTGGAACATTCTTAAAGGGCAAAATAATCATTTTTCTCAGCATTTGCCAATTATAATTATATTATTTTGCATTACCATTTTAAGATGATTTTATGATTGTTTATAATATAAAACATTTATTTTGCTGTATTTCAGACAACCGGATGATCACTATTTTAAAATATTTTATTTTCTTAGGAAAAATCCTAAGTAAAATAAAAATTATGAACTTACAATATGCATTGCCCTAGCTCCTGTTTCCAGGAAAGTTGTTTGTGTAGATGTTTAAAGTGTTTAAAGGACACTTTTTTGGTATTTTATTAGAAGATGCATACGGCAGCTAAGTGCATTTTGTTGTTGCTGTTCATACCTTTTTTTTCAAGGTGCAGGTTCAGCCTTTGTCAAAAGTATTCAAAAACAATCGTTTTACTGTGCCTTATTTTTCATGTCATTTATTTTGGTTTTGTGATTTCTTTTCAGAAATTGAGAAATTTCAAGGTTCAGATGGAAAAAAAGAAGATGAGGAAAAGAAATATCTCGATGTCATCAGCAACAAAAATATAAAGCTTTCCGAAAGAGTATTGATTCCTGTTAAACAATACCCAAAGGTACTGCATGCAGCATGCACGTTGTTCTGTGTGTTGGGATAAAAAGGATGACATCTTGTTGCTTTCTCTATTGCCTCTTATGAGTTAAACATGTAAGGCTTTGCTGTATGAACGTACGCAAATGCATAGTACTGATACAGGAAGGAAAACTGAAAGTGATAAGAATTTTCAACCGAGGGTCAGTGCATTTATTTTATCTATTTCCATAAGTATGGAAAGCATAATTACATGTTTTAGTCATTTATTCAATGTGGCCAGTGTTTGTTACTGTGTGGGTTCTTTTCTCTCTATTTAACCATTATCCAGTTTTATTACCCCATTAACACTATATAAGAGATAAAAAAGGGTAGAAGCGGTTAGGGGGAGAAGTTACAGTTTTACTACTTCCCGATAGAGGCACTGATTTCCTTGTGGCAAGTTTCATCTTAGTTGTCGTGATATCTAATTTCTTCTTCTCGTTTCTTTGTGCATGATTACGTAACAAACAGCAAACAACAGCAAACAGCCACCAACCAGCCAATAACAGAGCAACCCTGCCTCTGTGGGCCCCGGCTTTTATATATCCTCTGAAAAGTTCCCAAAATTCCAAACTTCCAAACACACTTTCAGAAACTATCTATATCAGGCTAAACCACACCACTGCTAGAGCATGAGGCAAATCACAGTCACAAGCTGTGAGGCAGCCTCTTATCCCAAAACCAGGGATTAAAACAAAAACATATTCTCATAACATTTCTGTATTTTCTGAAAAAAAAAAAAAAATCCAAAATTCCCACTACAATTCAGCATGGCAGTTACTCTCCAATTTACCAAATTATGCATATCACTTTATTATGTTTTCTTTGGGGATAATATACATATATGTATGTATGTATGTATGTATGTATGTATGTATATATATATATGTATTCATATATATATGTATGTTCTTATATTTAGAGAGAATATAAAATATACAGCATTTGCTAATCAATGGGATTTGTTGTATTCAGAAAATAGCATATTACTGGTTTCATGGTTTTTACCTTCTTACCTTCTATAGTCAGTTTTAAAACCAGTTATTGTATTGTTTCCAGTGTAATACATCTTTAACTATGTTTGTACCCATTTATAATTGATTATAATATAATATAACATTCATTGACATGGTTTAATGGGCAATGTTAATAAATTTCAGTGGATAAAAAAGGTTTCTATATTTGCTAATAAATAAAAATCTCTGAAAATAGACCAATAAATCAAACTAATAACATACTTTTTAATGAGTGGCTTTGAAGCAAGCACCATGTAATTATCTTAATAAGTAAAGATTACAGACATGAAGAGTATAGTTTTCTGATTGCCTTTTGCCATGATAAACTATAGTAAATACAATTAAGTCAAATGCTTTGTTTGCAATTACCTAACATATGAAAAAATATATTATAAAATTTAGCTTCAGATGATATTTTTAAGGATCAAGTAAGTTTTGGGTTTATTTTATTAAACCAGGCTTAATCTGTTATAAGAAATGTGTGGTCAGTAGGAATATTGTTTTCTTGTAAATGTTATTTGTTGTTTTTTTATGATATCAAATTGGGCTATCAATGAAAATGCATGAAGGCATTTGTTGCATAACAGATTATGATAGCAATGTGATAGACTTTTAGGAATTAATTAATAACTTCATTAACCAATTATGTTTTCAAATAAAAGGTTCTTCCCTTAATATAAGAGTAAATATGGCATGACTTGATACAGTCTTCTGTAATATCACTTGAAAGTCTGGGTTTGTGAAAATATGGCAATGAAAAGCTTCTCTGTAGCCTCTATCCAAATGACAATGGCAACGTAGAAAGCATTAAAAGACCTGAAGCCTTTTCAAGTTTGCATATTGTTTAATGCTAAATGTTAAAATTCTATAATTGATTCATAGTGGTAACTTAAAATCGGGATATTATGTAGCACCAATTTTTTATTTTCTGTATAATTTCATAATTAATTTGAAGGTGCTCAAACTATAAAAGTTTGGAAAATTTTTTTATTTAGATGTTATAGAATCAGAATGTTAAGCTAGAGCTAATATTGGAAAGTCACAGAATATGTGCCTTTTATGCTACAGATCAGAAAAACTTATGGGGATCTTGAGTACATACCTTGTTTCCTTTTACAAACAGTTAAATTTTTAATCTGATTGATCATGTTTTAATGTATATGTTACTTCTCTTATATAATGTGGAAGAATTTGAAAGCTAATAGCTCTAATGATAGTAGTATACAAACTAGTCTTTTGACAACTCATGCTTCGGAAAAACCGCATGACTCTAATTGCTGAATAGCCTGCCAACCCTTTAATATTTTCAGTCAATGCCTATTCCATTTATTGATCCCACAGATGGGCGCTCTATATCCCTTCATTGAAAGAGGAAGCACTGTGAAAGAGATTATCTAACTAGTCCTATGTGGTATAGTTACCTATCAATGGTAACCTATTTGGTTTTATAATACAACAATAAAATCATATTTCAAAAAAAAACACATTGTTTCATCATTTTCTATAATCTTTTTGAGGCTCTCTCCATTTGTTACAAAGTATTGATTCTCTCTGTGTATTCATTGATACATCTTACAAAATATCAGAAAAATTCCATTTCGATCATTAAACTTGAGCTGTCTAATATACATTCACGAGCTTAGTGTGCTGCGTTGTGATACTGTGAAACTGAGCAGTGACATGAATATAAATTTAACCTTGTATATTAAAAAAATGGATCATCCTTCGTGGGTGTGCTCTCTAGAATTACCTGCTTTATATAAGGCTGTCTGAGACCCTTCTATCCCCTGGTTGTCTGTTTGCACCACTAATTAATGCGTGGATGAGACAGTCCTTTCAAGCAAAGGGCAATGAGGAAGAGTGGAAATTTGGGGAAGGGGATGACCTTATCATGTCTTTACTTCACGACCTTTTTCAGATAGATTTTGTTTCAATTAGTCTCCAACTTCAGGCTAATTTGCTGACTTAGTTGAATACTAGAAGGAATTGGAAGAAGTTTAGGATTTTAAATTATAGAAACTATAAGGAGGCTGTTGAGGCATTTCAGCAATGACATATGTAACCGTAGTGTTCTATGTTTGTTGAAATAATTGAGGGATAAATAGGCCATATTGTCAAATACTTTTAATGGACATTTTTTAATATTTTGGTGACAAGATTGATAAAGGTATGTTTGGGAATATTTCAGTAAGGTTACATTTTTGCTGTGTTCTTCACAAGAATGCATAACAGTTAATTTAGTTAATTTAGTTCACTGTAATAACTTCTAATTGTCTATAGGCTTCCGGTAACAACAAAGAACTTATTTCAAACATGGACAGGATTCTCTCTCTCTCTCTCTCTCTCTCTCTCTCTCTCTCTTCCTCTCTCCCTCTTTCATGTGCGTGTCTATGTGTGGAAGTCAGGAAAAACTGGATTTGTCATTCTTCACTGGCGAGTCGCCATTTTTGAAGTAGGCATTGTGTGTATTGTAGCACTTGCAAAGAGGATCAGCGATTATTTCTTGGTAGTTAATCCTCATAAGAAATTCATTTTCTTCCCATGGGCAAGTTGCCCCATCCTTAACCTCAGCTTCTCCTCCCCAAATCCATCTGTGCTTTTTGACATACTTCAACACACACTTTATAGTTTCCAAATATCAAATTCATATGCATATTAGAGCCAGAATCATTTTCAGTCTATCAAGCAAGCTACTGCTAGAGCGTGTGTAAACTTGGTCCTGTAATTTTTTTGCTGTTGTTGTTATGGAAAGTAAATCTTTTGTACAATATATTCTGATCATGGTTTCTTTATCCAAAACTTCATTAAGATCCTCTCTGTCTCTCCACATGCCCAACTCTATACCTTCTTTCTCTCTTTCTCAAGAACACTGAAGTAAATAAAAAGCATAATTTAAAAAAAAAACACAGAAAATCTTAAGAAACACAAAACACAACCAAAAAAAAAAAAAAAGAAAAGAAAAGAAAACCACCCATAAAAACATAATATCAGAACTAAGTAGAGAGAAACTGGCAAGTCAGCCACTCGGTGAATTAGAAAACCCTTTCTTGGTACATTCAGAGTCCTATAAAATGCATCAGACCTTTTCTTTACCTAAATTTATCCAAAGGTGTGCCTATGATTTTTCAAGTTGTATTGCTGCCATCTTTGAAGCACGTATGTATATTTCTAAGTTGCATTGTCATCCAGAAGTAATAGGAGAATGAGTAAAACATCAAAAAGATTTTTTTTTTTTTTTGGCTGATATAAAGAGGGTACTTGACAAGCTTTTTAAATTTCAGTTTAATTCCTATCACTTTCCTAGCCTGACACCTTTGAATTTTTTTTTAAATTTTTAGTAATTATATTTTATTCACTTTGTATCTCCCACAAGCCCCTCCCTCCTCCCCTCCCAATTCCACCGTCCCACCCCCTGCTTCACGCATGCCCTTCCCCAAGTCCACTGATAGGGGAGGTTCTCCTCTCCTTTCTTCTGATTTTAGTCTATCAGATCTCATCAGGAGTGGCTGCATTGTCACCTTCTGTAGCCTGGTAAGGCTGTTCCCCCCTCAGGGGGAGGTGACAAAGAGCAGGCCAATAAGATTATGTCAGAGGCAGTCCCTCTTCCCATTACTATGGAACCCATTTGGACACTGAACTGCCATGGGCTGTATTTGTGCAGGGGTTCTAGGTTATGGTACTTGGTTGGAGTATGAGTCTCTGGGAAGACCCCTGTGTTCAAATTTCTGGTTTTGTTGCTCTCCTTGTGGAGTTCCTGTCCTCTCAAGATCTTACTATTTCCCACTTCTTACATAAGATTCTCTGCACTCTGCCCAACAGTTGGCCATAAGTCTCAGCATCTGCTTTGATAGTCTGCAGGGCAGAGCCTTTCAGAGGCTCTCCATGGAGGGTTTCTAGCTTTTTCCTGTTTTCTTCTTCTTCTGATGGTAAACTTGTACAACCACTCTGGAAATCAATCTGGTGCTTT